AGTCTAATTCTGAGAGCGAAGATGAGTTAGACAAGGAACTCTTTGGTGCCAAACCGAAGAAACCTGATGCCGTCGCGGCCTACGAATTAAGCAAGAAACAATCCCTTCAACAGCAGCCCGTCAAGAAAATCAAGCGCCACCGATCTGTCAGGGACATGCGTGCTCGCCTCGCTCCAGATCTCGGTTCTCTTCACCACTCGATCCTCTCCTGGGACTTTTTCGCAACCGGCGATCTTCCTCCTACCTCGGACCGCACTGATTATTCCCTGGTCTCAAACACGTTCCGCACACCCGACGACTATCAGAGTACATTCGAACCTTTGTTGATTCTCGAGGCGTGGCAAGGTTTCCAACAGGCAAAGGACGAAGGTTCCTTCCGACCCTTTGAAGTCAAAGTCATGACCCGATTGGCTGTCGACTCGTGGATTGAATTCAGCACCCAGCCGCTCGGTATTCTTCCCAAGGATTTCAGCATGGGTGAAGGCGATTTGGTCTTGTTCTCCAACTCGTCCAACCTCACCACCGACCCTACTGCTCCCCATGTTCTCGCGCGTGTCTGTGGTGTCAATCGGAAGAACAAAAAGATGGAGGTCACATATCGGGTCAATCCTGGCAGCAGCAAGTTCCTGTCTTCTTTCGGGCCGGGAACTGAGGCATGGGGTGCCAAGATCACTTCTCTCACCCCGGTGGAGCGTGAATATGGTGCCCTGATGGCGCTGCAGTACTATGATCTGTGTGAAGAGATTGTCTTGGCTAAGCCCTCACCTCTTCTCACTTATTCGGACACAAGGCTCCAGCCCATCATGGATAATTACTCCATCAATCGTGCCCAGGCACGAGCTATCAAATCAGCTGTTGACAACGACGCGTTTACTCTTATCCAAGGTCCCCCTGGTTCCGGAAAGACCAAGACCATCATCGCACTTGTCGGAAGTCTCCTGAGCGATGTCCTTGGGAAACAAGTGATCAAAGTCAATGGTGCCCCTGCGAGAACTGCCGTCTCAAAGAAACTTCTCCTGTGTGCGCCTAGTAATGCCGCTGTCGACGAGTTAGTCATGCGATTGAAGGAAGGTGTGAGGACGGCGAATGGTCGGCAAGAAAAGGTCTCTGTTCTTCGTCTAGGAAGAAGCGACGCGATCAACGCCAAGGTGTTGGATGTTACCCTCGATGAGATGGTCAATACCCGCCTGAACCAGGATCCCAGCAAAGGAAATGGTGTCGATTTGCAGAAGCTCTACGAAGAGCATAAAACAACTGATACGACATTCAAAGAGCTTCGTGGACGACTCGACGAAGCACGAGCAAAGGGACTGCCTCCTCCGGAAGAGCTGGAGCGCGAGTTCGACTTGATGAAAAAGAAGCGGTCTCAACTGAGCACGGCCATTGATAAAGCCCGTGATCAGAACCATACGCTGGCCCGCAACGCTGACATGCATAAACGCCGGATCCAAGAAAAGATCATCAACGAATCTCATGTTATCTGCACTACTCTCAGTGGCTCTGGACATGAACTTTTCCAGGGTATGAATGTTGAGTTTGAGACTGTCATCATCGATGAGGCAGCACAGTGTATTGAACTCAGTGCTCTCATCCCACTGAAGTACGGCTGCTCGAAGTGTGTTCTTGTCGGTGATCCCAAACAGTTGCCTCCAACTGTTCTGTCGAAAATGGCCTCCAAGTTCCAGTACGAACAGAGTTTGTTCGTCCGCATGCAGAAGAATCATCCTCAGGATGTGCACTTGCTGGATATCCAGTACCGTATGCACCCAGCCATCAGTCATTTCCCCAGTGTGACATTCTACGATGGCAAGTTGCAGGATGGACCGGACATGGCTAAGCTTCGCCAGCGTCCCTGGCATCAAAGTGAACTTCTCAGTCCTTACCGATTCTTCGATGTTCAGGGTATGCACTCATCTGCGGCCAGGGGCCATTCCTTGATCAATTATGCGGAGTTACAAGTGGCCATGAAACTGTATGATCGCTTGATTACAGACGTCAAAGGATACGACTTCGCGGGCAAGATTGGCATCATCACACCTTACAAGGGCCAATTGAGAGAGCTCAAGAACCAATTTACTCAACGATATGGCGAAGACATTCTCAACAAAGTTGATTTCAATACGACTGATGCTTTCCAAGGTAGAGAAAGCGAAGTCATTATCTTCTCCTGTGTCCGAGCATCCAACAAGGGTATTGGTTTCTTGGCTGATATTCGTCGTATGAACGTCGGTCTCACCCGTGCCAAGTCATCCCTTTGGGTTCTGGGTAACTCGCAGTCTCTGGAGCAGGGCCAGTTCTGGAATGGACTCATCAAGAACGCGCGGGAGCGAAATGTCTACACGGAGGGTGACATCGTGAGAATCCTGGACAAGCCGCAGTTCACTGGCTACAAAGAGATTGAAATGGTCGATCTTGACGCCGAAGAAAACCGAGACTCCTCTCCCGACTATGAACCCCCTGTACCACCAATTTCCCGACCTTCATCGGCCTCTATTGGCGTTAACTCGCGCTCCGTCTCGGTGTCTGCCTCTGGGCGCGGTACACCTCCAATCCCGCGACCTGATGGACCATCTGGTGGAGGCAAGGGCTTAGATACGACAAAAATGTGTGGGATCTGTGGAAGCGCTGACCATTACACTTACAACTGCGACAATGACGAGGCAAAGGACAATGCTCGAGGAACCTGTTTCCGCTGCGGTCGACCTGGTCACACCAGAATCTCCTGCCATGCTGCACGATGCGGTGAATGCGGCGAATGTGGACACGCGTCCCACAACTGCAAGTCCACGAAAGTTCTTACAAAGTTCGAGAAATCTCGCATTGAGAGAGAGGAGTTCAATCTCAAGCAACGTCAAGAGGCAAATGCTGAGCGTCAGCGAGAACGTCAACTGGGAGGACACAACCCCAAAGTCCCTGTTGTTCAAGCCACAAATTCAACTCCGCTATTGAAACATGTTGATAACCCCGCGAAGAGAAAGCGTGAAGAATCTGCCTCTGGTGGACCACAAGCGCAACGTCCTCGTACCGGACAGCCAAATGCCCCAATCAATGCTCCAAGAGGCCGATTGGGTAGTGCTCATCCCGGACTATCTGGTCCGACTGCTCGTGGTCCGAATGTCTCTCGAGTCAGTGGTCACCCGGGGCTTTCTGCCCCCCCTCGCGGCAACCCAGTGGCCAATGCTGGCAATGGTTACAAGGGTCCGCCAAACAACGACCCACCAGGAGTGAGTTTTGCCACAATGAATCCAATAACTAGCGTTCATATATACTGACAATTTCTTAGGGTCTCATCAAGCCTTCTCGCGATGGTCAGGCGTATCCGACTGAAAATGACCCAACGGCTCTGCCAACAAGACCAGGAGCAGATGTAAGCGCCATATTCTTGGCTGACTTTCTTATTGATCACTCATACTAATATATTATCAATATAGACTGCCACACAAGGTCCTTCCAAGCCCCGACCCCCAGTGATGCGCAAAAAGAAGGTCCAAGATCCTTTCATCCGACCAAAGCCCAAGCGCAAATAAGCGCCGCAATGCGAATCTCAATGTACTTGTGAGCATCGACATGACTTTATGTCATATGCTTTGTCACATAGTGAAGCCAATAGTCTCGAATACCAATGATGAATATCATCCTGTAATATTTTCTTTTGTCTTCCAGCGTTACACTACTACCCGTTCGGATCCTCTCATCACTTCACCATGTCATTGTATCCTTTCCTTAACATACCTTCAGAAAGAGAGACGTCTCTGTCATCTACGGAACCACATACGGATTTTGGTGGTTCTGAGGCATATATTGTTGGTCGCTTATACAGCCTCTGTCCTTAACGACGATATGATCTAGTTAGCTCGATAGATAAGATCTGGCTACCATGGATCTAGCCGGTCACGCCGCTACCATGTGACGAACAATGCCCTAAATATCACTAAAGCTGGAACCAACCCGGTTGCAACTTCACAATGGAAAAGCAACATCGAAGAATGCAATAAAGAACACAATATAGTGTGATCAGATACAACATCCTTATATAATCTCCAGTCAAATGGAGATTAAGTCAAATGGAGATCACAGGTGAGTAAGTGTGCCACCTGGACACAACTATCATTGGATTATATTTCCTGGCCGTAAGTTATCGCCTTCTCGAAGCGTCTATGCCATTTCAACTTGTATACTAATTTTCAATCTATCTTTTACAAGAGTAGACAGCCGCTTATGCGGCCTTGTGATATCTCTCCGGTAGTCTTTGATATGATATTCTCAGAAACTAAGCTCTTCCTAACTGATAAAAAACTTGAACTGAGCACGGCCATTGATAAAGCCCGTGATCAGAACCATACGCTGGCCCGCAACGCTGACATGCATACACGCCGGACCTAAGAACAAAGCATCAACGAATAGTATAAAAGGCCAATGAAAAGACCGATGAAAAGATTGGTTAAAAAATCAAATACGAAGTAGTATAAAGCCCATATAGTCTATAGTGTTAAACCAGTGTACTATACGTGTACCCCAGGCAACGTAAAGCACTTTATACTTGCTTGATTTCTCGAGTACCCGTTTCGGATATGCAGGTGGCGATGATTACTTAGCTACAATTACTTTCTTTATAGCGATTTAGCCTTTACCTTCACCATCTAGGAATCAATGGCTAGTTGCAGTATCGTGAAGTATGTAAATATACCATTAAGGAGAAAGTGAAATTGAAATTAGTATACATGCTTCAAAAGGCGGTGATAAAGGTGGTCAAAAATTATCCAATGGGAGAGCTATATTCCGCAGTCGCCGTAGATGAGAGTGGATGACTAAACTCCTGTCTGGCAATATAATCCAATGAGAGAGAGGCATGCCCTAGAAGATTCGGATTCTGATACACTGTCAAGGACAAATGCCAATAAGCGATCTACTATTATTAGAGTTGGTACTTGAATATTCACAAAGATATGTACATGCCAGTCGGTACAGAACATAAAATTCACATAATTATCAGAGAAAGCTTAGACAGCCTTTTCCACATCTTTCTCCTGTGTATCAGTAATCACATCCTTTCGATCTGGGTCGTCTGATTCCAGTCCGTCCACCACCGTACCTCTATCATATATCTCATCAGGTAGAACAGCGCGGTCGACCTGAGTCTCCTTCGCAGGGAACGCCCATGATAACAGCAGATATACAATAGAAGTCGCAACAAAGCCCAACAGCCACCCAAAGTCAAACGGATGTACACCGACGCCAACATTGATCTTTGAGTTCACAGAATTGATAAATCCGGGAAGAGACGGCGCAACCCCCACAATAAAAGCCGCCACAGCGCGCCAGTTCGTGCCAGACATAGTCTTGCCCCCAGGCCCGGGATGGCGAATGTATACCGATATGTCGGGTTACTGGGCTGATATAGAGCAAGAATGTCATATTTACGACGGTTGACAACCCAGAAGTCAAACATCATGATTGCAGCAATAGGGCCAAGGAAAATGGCGTATGCAGACATGAAACTGAGGAAGTTTCCTGCCGATGCGAGGATTTTCCAGGGAACAAGACACCAGGACAACACGGCGCATAGGAGCTGGCCGCGTCGGATGTTGATATAGCGTGGTGCAAGTGCAGTGAAGTCGTTAGCGGCTGAAAGGGAGTTCGCCGAGATGTTCACGCCCAGGGCGGCTAGCGTGAAGGAAGCGGCGCCGAAAAAGCGACACGCGCGGTTCGGCCAGTAGCTGATCAGAACCATTGGGTCCCAGGGGATGGTCTCGAGGTTATAGTGGATCTGTCCGGCGGACGATGCAGCGATGCCAATGAAGGAGAAGAACGTGAATACAATTGGTAGCATGGGGATATAAAGGAGCTGCCACTTGACACTGACGCGGGAATAGCGACTGAAATCGGACTGGTTGAGAGATAAAGGTGCATAGTTTCCCAAGACTGAAGTCATATTGGCCAAGAACAGCCAGCTGTACTTGGATCCGGAGACTGTTGGAGCCTGTTGGTCAAAGACACTGCCACCACCTTTCACGGTGACGAAAGCCCATATCAACATAGCCAGCCATGTAATAGGAACTATGATTGATTTGACTGTGAACAACCAGCGCAGATTGTTTGGATGCATGCAGAGGAATGGAACCTGGAGCAACCAGAAAAGGAGAAATCCGATCATACCGCTGGTCGTGATACCCTGTGACTCGGGGATGCCATTTGGCAGAGTCAAAAAGCTTGGCCAGATTGCTCCGATCATGACACGGACTGCATTTCCGCCATTGACATTCTGGATGGCAAACCAGAAGACAGCAAGGATGACTCGTGAAATGATAGCGATATATGAGCCCCAAAAGCCCCAGCTAGCACGTGCGATAACGGGAAATGGCACATGGTATATGGCGCCCACGGCACCGTTTGCTGAAATGGCCAATGAGATGATGAAGAAGGATAAGGCAACGATGCCCAGTGCTTCACGGTATGTGAGGCCGACGGCAATCATACCGCTGGCGAATTGCCATGTCGCTGCTTGCAAAGCATCGGAGATCCAATATGCTAATAACATGTTCTATTAGCTCCAGCTTGATGTTTGTAAAAGATAAGCTCAAGTACTGTACCTATTATACTGAGTGCGCCCCATTTGCGCGCATTCTTGGCAATCGGGTCGAGATCACGATTTGTCCACCGCGCATTGCCTGCGGCAAATGCAGATTCACCCTGTGAGACCCGTGCATGCGGCCTAGAGATGCGTAGTCTCATGATTGAAGATGTAATAGGTGAGATGGATGTCAAGATAGTGAGATGGATGTTCTCAAGATAAAGAGGGGTTGGACCCCGGTCTGTATATATCAAATTGAATACCACACAAGTGGAATAGCTCAATATGAAACATAAGAGATCAAAAGAAATGCAGGTCCACCGTCTACTTATTCCCCAGATTTGCCCCCCTGTCCCGTGCACAAGGATGATAAGAATCCTTGGAATGATAAGCGTACATGCAGATAAGCACAGGGGACGAATGAGAAGGGAGGGCTCAAAAGTACCTCGTAAAACTCATTTAGCATGTAAAGATATCGAGATATGCTTAATTGCTATCCATGTTGGGTCTAATGCAAAAGAAGACAACTAATGCGATCGTCGCTACTCCCAATCATTCGCCGACCCCTAAGTACGGAGTACTTAGATACTCCTTACTGCTTCTCTCCGGGCAAACGGACATCCTGCCATCCTCGACCATCACCAACGCCCTCCACACTACCGTGTGGCCTGATCCCCTGCCACTCGGTAAGATTGATCCACCCAATCTGCTGCACGTCCCCGAACCCGCCAATCCAGTAAGCATGTGTAACCACCAACCGGGCCCAGAAACTTGCATGAGGTGAGTAAGCGGAACCTGGCATCCAGACCTTTGCATCGGGATGTGGCTCGAGGAAACACTTCTCGAGCGCGGCAGCTGCGTCATCGGGAAGTGGGGACGGGAGGTTCTCCAGGTATCCAAAGAGAGTGACGCGAGGTAGGGCAGCCGGGCTGAGAGGAAGACCAGGGTAGACAGGGCCGGCCTCATTCAGATGTTCCCACCAGTCTAACTGGAGACTGAGATTAGATCCCGCTGCGATGTTCTTGAAAGTAGTTCCAATGCGAAGGCCAAGAATTGTTGGATCGCCGTTATCATCGTGAGATAGATCCGATGGCAGGGATCCATCGCAGTCGGCGATGTACTCGCGGAGTGCGATGGAGAGACCGGCAACATCTGAGGGAGCGTGTGCGGAGGGTGGGAGGGACTCTGGGAAGTTGGTGGAGATGACGCCGGAGGGCGACAAAGCAAGCAGGCGGCGGGCCATCAAAGTTGAGGTGAACCATGAAGGGCGGGTTAAGGCACTTTCATCTTCAGTATTATCAGAGTTTGGTGCCACGTTCAAGCTGTTTGGTTGTCCGAGGAAGGCTTGGAGATTGTCTTCGAGTGGGAGAACAAAGCCGCGGGCCGTGAGGGGTAAAAGTAGCGCAAGAGCGCCAGTGAGGATAGCCGAGCGAGAGACCATCTTGACGGCTAATCAGATAGATAAGTTTGCATTCAAAATGGCTTTTAGACCTTTATAGGAAATAAGAAGAAGTAGAACGAAATGTCTAGGGAAGTGCGGAGACCATCAGCTGATAGCAATCTTATCTGATCGGGTCATCTACGGCAGTCTCTAGCCGCCAGTGGCGCCACCTTAGATTTTCCCCATTTATACCTCACCGGTAATTCTCTAATACTTGTTTCATGGCATCAGTTGGATGCCCTGTGGATCAAGGATATGGTGCTTGACATTCCGAAATCCTTGGGTAGAAAATAATTGAGTTTTGAACCTGCTTGTCCACTGCGTCCTGACTTTGCATGACAGTTCGCAACATTATCTTAGTCTCGTGCTGCTCGCTCGTCTGTTAAACGCCATGTTGGTGTCAGCCTCCCGGGACTCCCGGGAGTCCTAAGCCTCTCGTGAAATGCGGTAACGGTACATTTGCCAAGCAGGCTTCAACAATCTCCGGGTCCAAGTATAGCTGGCTGTTCTTTGACAATATGACATCGATCTGGGCAATCACGCTTTAAAAATAAAATGAGAAGAGCAAGGCCTATATAAGCAGATATCTAGATGCATGGTAGGATGTGAGAATGGAGATTCATTGTTGAACTACTAAAAACCTAACAGAAAAGCAAGGCCAGCCATCACAACCCACAACACCACATTTTGTGGTATGAAGCGATACTGCCGGGGATCTGGTAATCCAAGCATACTCTATATCGCTTATAGAGTTTGATTTTTCCGTGCCTCGTCTATCTGTGGTTCCTTTGTTTGGCAACCACTTCTTCCATGGCCACACCTGGTCCCGGGCTCATGTGACGAATAAGACCGACACTGATTGCATGGAGCGAGACTGCCGTCTCCTCTTCCGACATAATGTGGCTGGTCGAGCCGAGATGTGGTACAACCATCAGAGCCGGGAGGTTCGGCAAGACTGGGAGAAGCTTAAGGCTAACTGCCTGGAGCGATACAAGCTGCCTGACGAAGACCCCGTTGCGACGATCACACGCATGGAAGCAAGCTACAACTCTATGAAGCAAGGCCGGGAGGAGTCGATTACGGAGTTCCTCGAGCGAACCGATGATTTCCAGGGTCAAGTATGGCAACTCAGGTTCATCCCGAATGAACGGGTTCTCAATTCCGGAGTACGCGTCAATGATCAGTTTCCTAGCGGACATATAGTCCATCTGGCTCTTCTGACGGCGGTGAAAAATGATCAGGTCCCTCTTGCTGATATCCTTGAGGCCTTGTACGATTTTCATCCCAAAGTGGGGTTTCTGGGATCCGTACTGCGCCGACATAGATTGACAGGGTCAATTCGCCATTCTCGTCCCATCTTTTAGGACGACCGACAGATAAACGCCGCGTTAGCTTTTACATTTATCTGCAGCTGGCAATGCTAGCAAGCTTTCCAGTGAGACCTCGTCCTCCTCAAATGCACCCTACGCCGACTTGGGAATTGCATTACAGAACACGTCTGTGATCCAGTCAACATCGACTCGGACCAAGGGAGTCCAGAACCCCATTGTAATGGGTCGACTTTCAAGCTTGAAGATATTGTTAGCTCGGCACCAATCCTGAAGCTTGGTGAGGGTTCAATGCATCACACGAGCCAGCCGTCCCTCTGGGGTTGAGAAATCGAAGCTCGCCGATGCCTTATTAGATCTGTCTGGACTAACAGGCAAATGGTGTATAGCATGTTGACGAAGCTCGTATTGATTTTTGCTTCATGGGTATGCCTCCGCAGGGCATATTCTTTGTGTACCGCTTTTGGTGCAAATAATTTCATAGGCGCCGTAAATCCACCCGTGCTGTCAGTCTCACGGCTGTGGAGGGCCATTTTCTGAAATGTTCTTGCCATGTCTTCGGAGTTATCGATGGTAGATGAGCTTGATGATCCGGAAAGCAGGCACATTCAACCTAGTTGTCCTGCAGTTGAAGGTTGTCACCAGTACCTGTGTCGTTGAAACATCCTAAGTGAAACTGGCGATTGCACTTGTTCAAGCCTAGGAAATCATACCTGAACAAATGGAGACGAAACCCAAGAATAGCACGTCTAGGAACACCCCTCAACCACCATTTCCATCGGTCAACGACGATATGCAGAATGCGGCCCAGCTTTGCGTTTTGCACCCTCGGTCTGGATGATCGAGATATCCTGGGCGCCCGCTTTGCCGCTGGTAGGACCCTTTGTTGGATAGGGTATTATGTCGTGCTCACGCTGTACATGTTTTGTATACTAATGTTCCACCGTGATGATCTGGAGTTGGGATGTATCTGCCCCAGTCGAGATCTTTCTGTTGTTCGTACCGATCGTTTTATCGTTCATCTCATATCGGAGGTAGCAGAAACGTGAGATCACCGAGAGCACCCAAAAGTCAACGGGTTTATTCCACATCGGGATGGCAATGAGAGTCATGTTGCATGGCGGGTGAAGTTCGTCAGACTTTCATGTTGGGAAGAGATAGGTTCGAAGATGAATCGGGCAAACTCGGTACGGACCAGAGGATTTCCCCGTGCACTGCATTCCGACAAGAATATTGATGGGGTGGGGAAATGGAAGAGAATATCAGGGATTGGGTGAAGCTACTGGAGAGGGAGAGAAGAGAAGATGGGAAAGGAAGAGAGATTAATAGAGGAAGGAGCTGAGGCCAGTATCTCAATATGCATATGTAAGAATATCAAAAAGACATCTGAAAAGACACCCAAAAGGACGCTATAAAAAATGCCATTAATATTAGATCACATATGATCATTCGAGCTATGACACCAAGATAGAAAAGTAACACCAAAAAGGATCCCAATCATATAGGAGTACACCATATTCCCTCTATATGTAGGCTAACCTTTCGTATTCATATCACATTTCATCTCACCAAGCCGATATCCGAAAACAAGAGCTTATTAGCCCCCACTCTAGGATATCAGTATTGGTCGAGTTTAAAATCGGCCGCAGATCGGCCGCAGATAGACATGGGACTTTTCTGCATATGCTCAAGCACCCCATTGAAATAAATTTACAAAGCTTGCAAAGCTGTCAATGCCATGCATATGCTCCACTCTATACTTAGAAACGAATAGCCAGGCCCACAGCCACACCCACCGCCACATCCAGGGGTCCACAGCCACACACGCATTGACGCAAGAATGACTCACAGAATTCCATATCCATGGTTGCACGGTCCTGTCATGTGAACATCTGGTTGCCTGGCTTATGGAATACGAGGGGCCGATATCGCTGTTGAGCTGTATTTGGATTTGACTATCCTATCCGAGGGCGAACCCTCGGGGATGGTAAATATACCATTCCCTAGATGGAAGAGTTGATACAGGTATAATCAGGGCATAGACGCCCGCTGTCCCCCCCAGTAACCAGAGTAAAATAAACCATAACCGTCCCATGCCGACCACTCCGTTCGCAACCACAAATAGATAATAAGAAAGGGTAAAAAAGTGAGAGAACAAATGCACGATGCAAGTAGAAGACATGCCAGTCATCACCACATCGTACACATCGTGGGAATCAAACGCCCAAGTCCCCACGTCCGACCGAGTGCCCGAGAAAATAGGGGTATGTACAACGGGGTCAGGTCGTCGTAGGGGGAAAGAAACATAAAACGACGGACTTTTTCTTTTTTTGCCTCGCACAAAGGAAATAAGAAAAATCAGGGGGAAATCCGCTAATAAATCGCAAGTTAATTCAAGTACTCCGCAACACGGAGACTCGGGTTCAATGCGATCTTGCGTGCTTCGCTGCCACAGCAGGCACGTTTCATGCCTGCTGGTCCGGAGACTGGGCCAGTCCGCACGGGAGCAATAGAGGATCCGTGTTGCGTCATGAAGGAGCGTGGGAATTGTCCATCAGGCAACACGGAGTGATCTCCAGAGGCCCCGAGGTTGATCAGATGGCGCACATGGTTTTGGAGCAAGAGATCGTCGGATCCAGTGCGTCCGCGCTTTCGGCACTGGCGCCGTTCGGGCGTTGCGCCAGAAAGTTCGCAGAGACTCTGAGCTGCTTCGCTCAGGCTGGAATCCAGGGAGAAATTAGACAGGTCTGGGACCGAAGAACCCATAGAACTGGTATATTCAGGAGAGCTGTAGACGCCGACCAGACTCTCGTCAATCGGAGAGGCAATGGCCAGAGTCTTGCGGGACTCCTTGAGGGAGTTGCTAGTGCAGCGCAATGTAGCCTTAACGGCCAAGCTAGCTGATGCTGAGCCAGAAGTACCCGAGGCGTTGGACGAAACTGATGACGATCGCGAAGAGCGAGACGACAGGGTAGAAACATCCGAAACCATCGAGTCAGGCGACGATGCCGATGAGGTCGAGCGAGCCAAAGATGACCGACGGGCCGCAGCCGGGTAACCATCGTATGACTGAGTCCGAGGGCAGAATGACATAGGCGGGCGCTGATCGAGTGTTGATCGCGCCATGCACACATTCTGCGCCTGAGACATGGCCGTACATATGGATGGGCGGCGGGGGTTGTAAGCAGCCACACTCGCGGCAGGAGTGGGGGCCACTTGAGACTGGGGAGTCATCTGTGGTGTCGGAAGCATCATAGGGCGTGGAACACTAGGCAAGGCCAGGTTGGCAAATTCCATGCGCGGAGTCGGCTCCATGGTTCGCGGAAGACCCCGAGGATAAGTCGGAGTTTGTTCGCGCGGCACAGAGCGCACCGACTCGTTGCTTGGCAGACTACGAGGCGAGAGGAATTCTGAGAGACCGATATCCATACCCATCGCCGAGACTGGGGTCATGGGCTCTGACTCTACAAAGTCCAATTCAGGGGTGAGTCTGGGTAGGACAGTCTGCCAGCACTGACCTTTAGCAACCGGGGGACCACCGGCACCAGGGGTCAACTTCAGGACCAGATCAGTCCAACGCTGAAACGTTGCTTCATCGATGTGCAGGCGCCATCCGACAGCCTTGAGGAACATAAGTTCATTCTGGTTAATCTCGAGAGTATTAAGGCCAGAAATCTTGCTCCAGGCACGAGCGGAGTAGTTGCGATCCTGCAGATACTTTGACGCAAGAATCAGTGCTGCCAGGAACATCCGACGTCCACACTGCATCGCCCGCAAAGGCGACTGATCCCGAGACTGCTCCTTGGTGAAGTCATGCGTGGGCACGTGGGGCTTGATTTTAATCAAATAATACAAGGCCACCTGCAAGGTACTGTAGCTAGTACGCGAGCGGCGGAGAGTCTCCTGGATAAAAGTGCGGAGAGGAAGAACCCCTTTGGATCCGGTCGCGGCATCACTACGTGATGCTGCGGCGGAAAGGGGCCAGATGGTCTCAACAATCTGTGATGCGGTGTCTTAAGAGGGGAGGATGTTTAGCCGATCGTACACGACGTACTTGTCTTTTTTTTTTCAAGACTTACCGACGAGGTTGTCGACGAAGTTCACCTTCCGTTCCGACTGCCGTAGCAGACATGGCGGAGGGCGCGCACTGGGAGCGCTAGAAGAATAACTGTTAGTGCGCCGAGGGTGCGTTCGCAGCTCGGATGGCACTACACCGTCCACCTTGGAAGCAGGTCCCTTGGCAAAAGCCCGGGGGCATGCTCCGTTCGGATTTCTTCCAGCCAGATGGCTATTCTCATTCTCCCAAATCACGTCAACCGGGTTGGTCGATGTGGATGATATCGAACTCTGCGAGACGCAATCGAGGGAGAATACAGATGAGGAAGAGGAGGAGGCGGAGGAGGAGATCGAGGAGGCATAGGGGTGAGCGTGGTGAGACGCTGTCAATTGGGAGCTTGGGTTTGAGAGGGTCAAGCCCAAGACGTCCATCCCTGACATATCCGAAAGTGTAGAGTTCATATAGGGCGTTTGTGGTGAACAAAGTTCAAAATGAAGACTGGAGCCGGATAAAGCGAGATGGTCCGATTTTTGGAACCGTAGTGTCAAGATACCGTTAAGCAGGGAACCGGGAACGAGAGCCGAGGAGACAGAGCCGTCTTTGCGAGCTAGGCGACGGCAGACCTTTAAATGTAGAGAGCCAGGTTGGTATAACCCGTAGAAAAATAAGCGGAACCGCCGGGTGTAGCGGGTAAAAAAGAGACCAAAGGGGGAAGTAACTATAAAGACAAGAAAAGGAAAACGTATTCACGATCAGATCAACCAAGTGCTTCTGATATAAACCAAAGCAGGGGCACGTGGCGGGGATATGACTCTTTCTGATGAGTATTCAGATGGAGCCAGAGACGGTGACAATGCGGAGGTCGGTAACAGCAGCAAAGGCGATCGGAACGAAAGAATCAATAGGGTACATTTTGAAATGAGTCGTGTGATAAAAAAGAGTTTATATCAAGGCACCCAACAGACCATGGACAGGCAGAACCACACTGGTGGCGGCTTGTACAAGGCAGTCGTTGAGGGCTAGGCAGAGAGAGGGAGAATCGGGGGAGGGGAGGGGGAGGCTGATAGGGGAGGCGAGATGAAGATATTAGCGTTTGAAGAGTCAAAAGGAAGATATTTATTTAAGAACTAACCTATGACTCTTTTTTTCTCTCAAAGTCTGGGTTTGACTAAGAGATGGGGGGCAAAAAATGAGAGAAGGGGAAAACTTGTGGCGAGAAAGGTGGGTGGCGGGTTAGGAAGATGCCGGGAGGCGCAGGGACCACGTAAATAGAATATAGTCAAATATTCTACCTTATAATCTTATAATCAGGAGATGAACTATCTCTCGAGAGAGATGTAGGGAAAAAGGACCCGGATGCGGCGAGAAGACTCCGAGATAGGAGGGTAGAGAGAGAGAAGTGAAGTGGTACGACGGTGACTCACGCTTCTATCACGTTTTTTTTATTTTATACGAATATACTATTCTTACTATATTATATGCTATTATCAGACTATTTCCTATCAGATAATATCTTCTATCTTATATTCTATATCTATCCTAATCTGATTTTCTAAATAAATCATTATCTACATAAAATAGAAAGACCATGCAGTGACACCTTAATGTCTGTGTAGCCACTCATAGATGAATCTTAGCAAAGAATACATCAACAAATCAGCAAAAATAATACCATAACATTCAATAACCAACATATAATCCTCTTTCTGAAGGTTTTTGTCTAAATTTCACTGAGTCATAAAGCTTTGCCACGCTGTCTTTGCACCAATCCTGACCAATCCTGACCAATCCACGCGCGGCTGTTAGGCTGCGATCCACTATCATTCCTATTATTCCACAATTATCTCTATGCTGATTGGTTGAAAATTGCGATCGGCGCTGGTTGGGGTTGCCTGCAGCCTTCCAGATGGAGCTGGGGAACCTCGGTGTATTCTCATATGACCTCAACGAGAACTTAGGCTGAAAACAAAGAGAATATTTTAGGCTTCATCTATGGGATTTCTCGGTTTATCCCTTAGATATCACAGGTGGCAAAAATACATATGCATTTTTGTCCTTGGGAGTGATATTTAGTAATACCTATAGGAGAAAAACACAAAATTGAGAAAAAAGAAGTATCATAGCATGTAGTCATAGAATGTATCTAGATAGCCCAAACTGTACAAGTACAACTATCTACAAAGATATACAAGCACCTCTCCCAATACCTCTACCAGCCCCCGTACTTCGGCCACTGTCCTTGTTAGTCATCGCACGAATCCAATCGAGATACCCACTCACCGGTGTTATAGTGCAGGAAGCTGACCCGCACCACCCCGTCCTCCACATCGTCCAATCCGCACACGTCGGCCAGTAGCCGGTGGCTGTACATATGACCACTGCGGAACCCAAAGGCCGATCGACGCTCAACCTCCTCCACAACGCGCTGACTACCCACTCCCTGCACAACGAAGCTAATAACCGGCACGCGAAGCTCCTTGCTGGCCGAGGGTTCACCGATAACGTCAATCCGGCTATTAGAAGCTAGAAATTCCAGTAGAATCTGTTGTAGTTGCTCCTCGTGCTCGGCCATCTGGGCCCAGGTCGCGCTAGGATCGGAACCAAAGTACTCCACAACCTGGGGAATACTCTGTGTAAGCTCATAATTAGCCGATGCCAGATTGAGCTTCAGGTCTAGCGTATCGGTGGCCTTGAAGAAATGACCCAGTGACTGGATCTGGTCGTGAACCCGTGATGAGGCATATAGTTGCGCCAGGTGTGGTCCGTACACTTTGTACCAGGAGAATGCCTAGTGGGGGGATCAGCAATGAACCAGTCATGCATATGCTTGGGTTGCAATTTACGTAGAAATCCACGTCTAACGCTTTCACGTCAACCTGACGATGCGGTGCGAGGGCGACTCCATCCACACACAGGAGTGCCTGTATAAGTCGGGTGAGCGGGTGCATATAAAGCAATAGATTTTATTGTTACTCACGCGGGGATGGGCATGGACAACGTCTGCGATCTTTCGGATGGGACTGATAGTGCCGGTGATATTGGAAGCATGGGGACATGCTACGAGTCTGGTCTTATCGGAGAGCAGGGACTTCAACTCAGCTGGATCGCACACTGGATTCTTTGGGTCGGAAGCAGCCCACCACTTTACAGTCAAGCCCAACCTCTCTGCTATATGGACCCACGGGGAGGTATTGGCCTCGTGGTTGAGTTTGGATAGGACCAGTTCGTCGCCAGGTTGGAATTTAAGTGCTGTAGAGAGATTATGCAGGAGCTGGGTGGTTGAGATACCAATGCTGATCTGTTTCAAATTTCATGCGTTAGCACCCGAAGTTTGGCAGCGCTTATACTTCTTGGGAAGTAATATCAGGGATTATAGTGCATATACCTCCTCGGGCACGGCGTTGGTGAACCCAGCAGCCAATTTGTATGCATTATCGTATGCATTAGTCGAAATCTGGGAGACTTTATAACTGGCTCCGAGCTGGACATTTGTGTTCAGCAGGTAAGAACGGATGCTATCGCCAGTCAGTATATAGAAATATACAATGGGATTAGACTAACGAGTCGGCCACAGTATCGAGAACCTGGCTTCCGCCTGTAGTTTAACAATTAACCTAAATCCCAAGATTATCGAGGCTGTAAAGCTGGAGGTTCATCTCACCAGCGTTGTCCATATACACTTGCTCATGATGCAGTGCAGGAAAGCGAGAGCGAGCTGCCGAAACATCGAGAGCAGATGCCATATTGAATGATATCAGATTCGCTTGATTTAGCTAGATAATAGATGCACTATTTGACGTGAGAATTGCAAGGTATGAAGGATGTCTGTCCACTTGATAATCGCCAGCTCCGGCCGAGAGGGGTAAACAGTGGAGCTGTTACGGATTTGCTCCGGTCTCAAGCTACGTTGTACTTCGATTCTAATCCGTCCGAGGATCTGAGGGGACATGTCGACTCTACATCTACATCATGGAGCTTGCGATCGGGTCTATATGAACAGAAGGCGTAGGTTGTTTCACTTCAACGGGAACAACCACATTGGCCGCAGTATCATCCCTCCGTAAAGCAATGGAAAACCGTACTTTCCTATAACTGGACAGATAGACATCTCTTTCTTAAACAGCCCATATATAAACAGTCCCACACATGGCCAAGACATGGAAAACACGAATTAAATGCAAAGATTTTGCTTCCATCGGGTATATGTATGAAATCCAAATCCAACAAAAACAAGCCCCCGTAAAACAAGAAAACCCCCGAAAGCACCACACAACAGCAGCTGTATTCCCAATAACAATATCCCCACTACCGACGCGAGCCCGCCGCCGGCGCCGAACCGGGTGAAGCATCATGTACAACACACAGCAAGTACTTCCGATCCGGAACGACCACAATCTCATGCTTCTTCGTACGCATTCTCAGCAGCTTCACATCCCCATCCTCATCCCGATCGAAGCCATCACCGTCCCGGTCTTCCTCACGTGCCGTGCCCTCGTTCGCGTATTCGTAGTTAACATCCCAATGGGCGTCGCTGGGTCGCTGCACAGTGAGTGTGGGTCGGGATAGCGAGACACCGAGTGCTTCGGCACTAGAGACAAACGCGAAGATGTGGGCGGCTAGTGTTTCGGCTTGCGAGGGTTGATAGGGCTGTGAGACGGCGGGGAGGACAGGGGATGGGTCTGTTGGTTGGGTAGTGGATGAAGGGCTCTGTTCGGTTGTTGGTGATGGGATGTGTGCGGTGCGAGAGGTGCTGTTTTCTTCGGTTTGTGCTAGCTGTCCTGTACTTTGGATGATGGATCCGTCTTTGCGGGAGAGGATCAAGGTGGATTGCACGCCTGGGCGGGAGGTGAGGTGTGAGAGCAGCGCGGTGACATGGTGGGGGATTTGCTGGGTACGCTTTGAGGTTTGTTAGGACGCTTGAGTGTGTTTGGAGGAGAGGTTGTACTTACTTGTCCTGAGTTCGCCATATTGGGGGGTTCCGCGGGGAATGTGAAGAGTGCTGGTATGCGGTGTGGGAGGTTATGGTTGGGGGTTATTTAGAGAAGTACTGAGCACCTCATGTATTTGCAACTGCTGTCCCCGATATGTACTTTCCTTCAGCTAGAATGATTGAAGTACATGGAGTTCGAGAAGTTGATTGCATTTAGGCGTCTCCAAAACAAATGACTAAGCATTGGGATGGGCACAAAAATATCTATGGATGGAATGCTCCTGTAAAGATCTTTAGGCTCTTCAGTTACTGGCAAAATAACAAAAGTTCAATTAAAAACCCCATCTCTATCCTTAAATATCTACTAAGTAGTTTCAATCTTATGAGAGAGCTTCATTCACATCAATCTCGACTCGGAACTTTATGTGGCATAGATCTAATTTATTGTTACTTGCAGGGATATATAACGTAACATTATTCAGTGCAATAATATAAAAACAAAAAAAATCAAGAGTAAAACAGAATGGTATCATAGAGAAAACAGGCAAAGCTAAACAGGGCCTGGATATGTAGAAATAAAGGCCCCAAAAAATCATAACAAGCCAATAAGTAACATCGTTTCGTCAGAAGCAATGAAGTTGAAAAAAAAAAGAGAAACAAAAAAAGATCGTTATCTATCGTTTGCGGGCAGGTCGAGCCCCAGTGAAACTGGACTTGTCCGACAACCAACCAGACTCAATGTCTTCGATCATGTTGTCCAGCTGTTTGACGTTTGCCCGGGTATCTCGGTGGGAGCTAGAAGTCTCAAACCCGCTGTGCTCACTGCTGCGAGAAGAGCTGACCCAGCTGTCAGGCCGCGATGCATGACGGCCAGAGTATTGGTGGGGAAAGGGAGCGTGTGGGAAGCCCGATGACATGTTTGGGTCGAGATTGAGACTGTCGAGAGGATTCTTGACTCCTGCGTTGAGCGCTGCCATGAGAGCGGCTTGTAGAATCTGGTTCTGGCGTTCCAGATTCGCGACCCGGTCCTCGAGGTAGTGATCTTGAGGGGCAGCGCGGGTGTTCTGACTGCTTTGAGACTCCCTTGATCTGTGGGTTGATTGAGAATATTGTGACTGAGTGGACGCAGTCCTCTCAAGACTGTGGATGCTGCGGCTTTGGGGTGTCATAGGGCGCGCGGGATTCGGGTAACGAAGTCGACTGTTGGATATCCGTGGATCCATTGTCTCATATCCCCGGCGTGTTGGCTGGATGCGTTGGTATTTATCGGTCTCCCGACGCGAGTGATTGGAATTTGCCCCTGGGCCAAAGACCTCATCGTCTGATGATGGAAGTGGAGACTCGGGGCGAGATTCAGGGTGACTTTGTTGGTATGTGTCGGGGAAGCTCTCATGTCGGAGGCTGCTCCCTGAGCTGTCGCTCCGGGATATGGTCGAGCCTCGATAGGGCCCCGGTGCATGATTCACCTCCATGTTCCTCATTGATGGCAGAGCGGCCACGTCAGGCGCAGTGTATTTGCGTTGGCCAACCTTTCGCCCAGGGGGCGGAGGAGGTGCATGCTGAGGTGGAGCTGATGGGAGTGATGCAGTGGGTGGAGGCGTTGGTAAACCGAATGGAAGATTCTTTCGGCTGGCTTGGGCATTGATCTGAAGCTCCTTCAGAACAGCACGTTTGTCATTAGGGTTTGCAGGGGTAGAGTGTCCTAGTACAGGAGAGTCGGCCAAAGGCTGCCCCTCTGAAACCGCTGCATCGCATTGACTTGAAGGGCTTTCGGGGAGATCTTGCATTCGAGGAATGCGCACGCTTGAAACACGTCCTCTAGGAGTGCAATGTTCCGGGGTTGGCTGGTAGTGTTCCGAAAGCGAAGTGGTAAACAAGCTTTCCTCGTCATCGACTATTGACTCTCCGGCATCGACGCCGCCGAGATCGGTTGCCGGGGGCGAGTCAAGGGTACAAGAACTGTCGACAGTGGGGCCGACCTCCTGGTCTTCAACCAGTGTTGGCGGGGGAGAATGCAGATTGGACGACGACCTTGCACCAATCGCTCGAATAGAGCGAGCGTTAGTGCCCGGAGTACTCGGTGCGCATTTGCCTTTGGGCAGTGATGGCAGGGGTCTTGTAGGCGCTGGGAGAGGGAATGCCTTCAGCGCGCCCAGAGACAACGAGAGCGGTCGACTTTTGGTCTGATCTTGTAATGCAGAATCCTTGGGAGCTTTTTCTACAGATTTTGCCGCTGCAGAAGACGTGGAACAAGGTACAAGGGCGTCTGAGCTCTTTGGTTCTGCCTCAATAATTGGAGCATCTATTAAACCATCCGATGATGCCTGTGGCTTATCTGGAACTTCGGGTACGTTTTCAGAAGGTCCAGTTCGTGAGCTAGATGGCGGGGATGGGTGGGATGCCGGTGATGCTGTGGGATTTTCGATCGTTTGATACCGAGGAGTTGCAGAATTTCTCCATGCGCCCTTGCTAGATTTGCGAGGAGGTGCAACATTAGGGAAAAGTTTCAAAGTGGGTGTCAAGGGCGTCACATTGCGAACAGAAGACTGGTCTGATGGAGTTCGCTTTTGGCTATCAATGGACAGTCTAGACTGTGACTCTGTCGCATTAACACTCAAGGATGCATTAACAGTGACTCGTGAGACAGGGTCGGCACGAGTACTCGGCTCTGTAGAGGTAGATGGCCGTCGGATTTGCTCATCAATCGAGACGTCCCTATAGGAATGACTAGTAGAAGCCAATGAGGAAGTTGGTCGGATGATATCTTCAGGACTGGAATCTGCCGTAGCCCTTAAATTCGGGGTAGCTGATGGCGATTGGGAAGAGGCTTGATCGTTTGGCTGATATGGCGGTGGCACAGAATCGTCGAAATCGGATTTGAGTGAGACTGCGACGTCGACCATTGAACCAAAGTCATCAAGATCCAAAGAGGCCAAGCGACGTCTTGTCTCAGTTGGTCGCCTGCTACCATCGACTTTGGCTTGCAGCCATGGCTGTCCAATGTTTTCCACGTCTTTCTTTGATTTGGAAAGAGACCGAGAGAGTGATAGTGACATGCTTTCTTTTGATCGCTTTGCCTCCTTTTGTGCCTTCGACTCCTTTGGAGGACGGTCTGGGATAATAAATCCTCCCCTTGTTAGTGCTTCAATTTGGCGTCGTTGTTCTTCTTCTTTTGATCTGGGCGTTGATTCTTTCTTTTGGCGCTGTGCAAACTGCAAAAGGCGACGATGGAATGGCTTCAGATCCTGCTTTGGATCTGGTTTCGGTTCAGGCTTCAATTCTGGCTTCGATGGTTCAGGCGAAATAGGAACCGGTAGTGCAGTAGTCGTATCGGGAGGGCTCGAGGGTTGAATTTGAGAAGGAGCCCGAGAGTGGGGTTGAGATGGAGGTTGAGATGGAGGGGGCTGAGCGGGCATATTTTGAGTCTGGAAGAATCGAACCATGTCCACTAGGCTTTCATTTCTACCAGCTCTTTCAGCTGTACCTGCTGATCGGGCTTCGGGCCGCGGGGTACTGGCGCCTCGGGGCACGACTAGAGGCCTAGGTGGTGGCCCAGTCTTTGTGGAGGTCATGTTGGAGAGCTTGCGTTTCGAGGGAGGATCAGGTCGATAAGTCCGAACGATTGGGCTTGGTGCGACAGCACAGTCATATGGTGAATCACACTGATTCATAGGGAGATGGAGCATCAACTACTGGCTGGCTTTGCAATCCGGCAGTTCCGGGGCGTCGACATAAAAATGCAGGCTCAACGGGTAAAGCAATAGACAATGCTATACTTCCCAGGTTAGAGACGAACCAACGAACCGAGGCATTGTCTCGGGAGCGCGACATGCTCACCTGCTCAGGAAGACCAAAACGATAGGGGCCTGGGAGGTTATATGGGTACGCGAGGAATATGATACGTCGATACAAGTTGACACCACTATATACAGGGGGTGTCGGTATGTACAAAGTCGACAAGAGTTGGCGAGGTGGCGTTCGAGATGATAAAAATCGAAACAAAAGTCGAAACTGCGAGGCAACCGGACACAGAGAGAGTTTAATAGGATCTCAAGTGAGCTGTCTCATCCTTACTTGGAGGGGATCCTCGAACTAGGAGGACTCGGGAGGATCCCCCCTCGGGAACCTGGAAAGGCACAGGTTGAGGCTAAAACCGTAGCACAATTCCGAACAGGTCCTGCAGATAATGAAAACTGATTCGACCAAGGGGATCCAAGTAAGGTGTGGATAACTTCTCGCACTGGCACTCTCGATGTGTAGTTTGGGATCGGGTAAGAGCAATATGATACAGCAATTGTATGAACTCGGTCGTGCCACTGATGCAGCTGCATGTTGCCGTCTAGGATCCGGTCCTTTTTTTTTTTGTGCATTGTGCCTATTGTGGCAGGACAATGCTGGCCACAGACAAATTGTCAATTGAACTGCTGTTCCATAATTGGCTTTTCTCCTTGTTCCCCTTAAATATGAATGCAAGGGGGGACCTGGAGAGAGAAAAACGTCAGGCTGCGCCCTGTACTCCGTATTCTGTACTCCGCATCGGATGTGAGGTATCAAATCCGAAAGAACAAACCTTTCAAACCAAACACTTTGGCGTGATCTTCCCGTTTAAAAGAATTCGGATCGGAGCTATACAGATCCAACTTTTTAGGGATCTCGGGTAAAGGCAGTCGATCATGGATAGGGAAAAGTACATGGAAAATGAGAGGGTGATAGCTCACACTTCAACTATTGAAAATCTAAAGTCAATATGACATATTAATTTAAATTATTTGAATACCAATGTGTCAATATGTCAATATGCACCCCATACAAATCACACCTGGTCAGGGATAGGGGCGTTTAGCCCTGGAGATCACCTGGGCGTCAACATCATAATTAATCTATAAGTAATATAAAGGGAAGACCTATCGAGGGCAAACAAGACTAGATACGAGACCCATTTAACTAAAAAACACATAAGATTCTGGAAGTATGAATCATAAACTACGGAGTACTCCGTATTCTGTACATCATAAATCTTCATCCCTTGCCTTGATATCCCACCCATTACCTATATAAGAAGTACGTGGTATATCTTGACGATTTCCTGCATTAATCTCCGAAAAAACGCTCTTCGCATCGGCATTCAACTTCATCTCCAATTCCCCGAACCCCAAAATAAAAACAAGTACAGACCCACGCTACAAGACATGTCAAGTCTTTCCCCTCTTTGTATGCAGGATATCCACTTTCAAACACGCGAAGAGACAAGTCGACCGCACACATAGGAAGTTCGTTCTAAGGCTTACTTTTAACCTTTAGGTCGGAATCGATCGGGGACGCCATACATGTACAACATTTCAACCTGTTATAGCCAATAATAATGGGACTCCAGATATTTTTGATGTTTGCCTTCTTAGATAGCGTTTGCAAAGAAATAGAAATCCCAGTCGCTTGTAAAAGCATGGAAATGATTGGACTACAGAACCCCTGCCAAAAGCACAATTTCTAAAGATGAATATTCATAATTTTCTGGCTCTATAGGGATGAATGACCAAAATCGATGTTCCATGAAAAGATATATGAAGTTCCAGCTTAAGGATCTGGCTCGGAGCCTTGGTATTGTATATATCTTGCTTTGCCTGCTGCAAGGGCGCAAAGCCCACGACCACCCTAGCCGAGGGGTGTACCGATTGGTTTATTCGGCGCTGGTTGCAGTGTTCGCAGGGCGAGACCGTCTGTGTAAAGACCGACGCCGTGGTAATGTCCGAGCTTTGAATCGGATGCCTGGTCCACTGGTGGCTTTATAGGCAAAGCCCGTAAAAAAGCTCTAGGCCCCAGCCTAGCTCACGGTACCATTCTATTGGATGGATTTGGTTTTGCTCATAAACCTTGGCTGAACAATTCATGGACCCGGTCCATACGCGATCGCTTCTTTTAACACCTTGGTCACACCGGATGATGCACGGCCCAGCTCGCCACCTTCCTCTCTGGCACCCTTGAGTCCACGCTCGATTGGTGGTTGGAAACGAGTCGAGAACACGCGGTACCTGTCTTCACGGGTTTCGTACATTTCTCCTTCCTCGTCGCGCGGCTTGCCGAACAGATTCAGATATGCGAATGGGGTAGATGAGTCTGAGATCATGTGCTGGACGGTCTGGGAAATAGGGAACGGCCAGTCGGCACTCTCGTCATCACCAGAAATCTCATTATCGACATCGCCGATGAAAGGTTTCCCGATACCCGCATCCAAAAACATCGCTAGAGCCCCAAGCGTTTTGACCATGGGCTTGCCCTGGCTACCGGCCTTTCCGAATGAAGCCCGGGTTGAGGACCATTGTGATGACTCTTCGGTGTGCCAGCCCAACACAGACAAGAAGCAGTTGAGCGTTTTGATCCATCCTCCTGCGCAGGAAACTGTTGATTCTCCCGCTGCCTCGACCATCCATGATAGAATCTCCACAGCAGAACTGCGGATATCCGCTCCGAGATGGGTCATTCCTGCGCGAACGTAGGGAAGAAGTTGCGCAACATGGTCCTCGATATCGCCTGGCGGCAGGGTCCGCAAGAGCTTGAGGAGCTGGGTCCGTACGCTGTTGCTTCCATCGAGGATGAGTGGAAGGAGAGACGGTAGAATAACGCTGACTGGTTGTGGCAGAGGCGAGTTTACTGGTCGAGAGGATATCGTAGTAGTCAGATAAGCGAGGGAGTCACGTCGTTGGCTGTCGGACTTGACATTGAGGAGAGATAAGTTATGCGTGAATGTGGCATTTGAAGTTGGGGCGTTAAGGTGGAGAGATTGTTGTGTGAGGACAATTGCTAGTAATTGTGAGCATGACAATACGTCAAGTAACCAGAAAAATGCACATACACTTCGATTTGAAACTGGTATCGGTGTAGTTGTCGGGCTTCGCTTTGGTTTTTCCAACCCTGAGTTTAGGTTTCTGCAGGGGTTAGCGGGTTGAACAAAAGGAACATGTGCTTGCGATTCTAACCTGGAAATCCTTTTGCTTATCCTTCTTTCTTTTAGAACTGGCACCCATGGCTGCAGATTCAATTGATTGTTGAAGATGGATGGCTGTCGGTGATTCTTTTTTTGCTCTGATTATCACACGTGATTTATCAGTTAATGCCTGAGGCATTAGATTTCCTGAACGGGAAGTATATTGTGATGAAATTTCTATTTTCAGGACGACTTTGTAGGTGTTTGCAATTATGCCATATTATTTCCATTCAGTAATAGCTGCCTATGCTCTATAGCCGTTTTATTACTGAGATCAAATGTAATCTTCATACAAACGATGTTGACATTTCTAAGAATATCCAACTCGACAATGCGAGTCCACCACAATATTCATTCGGCATCTATTCACCAGAGAAAAGAAGAGATAGGAGAAAGAATTGCTCAATCAAGCCTCTAATGAAGGTATACGCATCTATATAAGATTCCATTCTATATAACAATTCTTTTGTACCCATCTTCCCAGCGACATTTACTCTGCACCTTAAATCATCATATTAGCACCAACCACGAAATAACCAGCATAATCAACAACTAACCACGAGACCCTCCACCAAGAGCCTTAGCAACCGTCTCCTGCGCCGACTGCAACATAGACTTATCCCTCTCCAGCCCATAATCTCTCTCTTCTCTCGAACCACCTTGTCCGAATTGCCAGATATTATCGGGTGTATCCGACATGCGACGAGTCGTCGTCTTTGTATCTCCTGTTAAAAGCAATCGATACATTTAGCTAGTACTCAGGAATCAAGAGACTTGGCTCAAGGCCATATCAAACACCATTCGTGCGCACAAAGGCCACGCGCTATCACCACCGGAAATACGCACCGGGTTGGAGCTGTTTGGTTATCTTCTCGCGTGCATGACTGGCAGATTCATGGACGCGGCCGACGACACTATCTGTGGTATTCGTTTTGGTTGTCAATGGTTTGGAGGCTTCTGCTATGTGTGAGTTGGGTTCTGCGTGGAAGGAAAGGAAAACCATGAGCTAACTTAAACTACTCACCATCCGTGTTAGACATATCGCCCTGTTGAAAAGAATCAGCTTTGTCATGTTGATATTGGCCGAGAGAGGTTTCATACGGTGTTCTAATGTTTCTAGCTATATTGGTGTTAATTTGATGGTTGGCTCAATACACTGCGATCAGACTTGAATTTGCATGAAAGTAATTTATTTTGAAGGAGAAATAGTACCGCCCCGTGATTCGTCGACATGACGTGGATTGTTTCCCCGGCTTAATGTCCGGGGATGAAGTTAGTTGTGATATCATTCTTCGCTCAGCCTGCTGATGGAAAGGGTATGGCATTTAGGGCTTACAGCCAAGAGTGATAAGCTGATAAGGTCAACGTCGAGAAGGGATGAATTGGAGAAAATCATGATCATATTGAATTCCATGTCTAAAAGTAATCACGCAAGGATACCAAGATCCATTAATCAAAGCCTGCTCAGCAGCGCAAGAAATCCAAGAATAGAGTAAAGAATATCAAAAAAAGACAAAAAGCAGGAGAGAGATGCGCACTTCTGTCCGGCTCCGAGCTGCGAAACAACAAAGGAAACAAAAAAGCAAACATAAAAGTGAAAAACATAATAGGCAGCTCGGGTCCCGGACAGACGCGGTTGTATCAATCAAATCAACAAAAAAAAAAGCACACGTCGTATAGTAATCAGGGAAAACATGGGAGTAATAAAGGCACGACCGCCGAGGACATAAGTCGTGTAATACGTGAGATTATAGTGGCGGCAAGCTCATCACACATCAGCAAAACTCAGTAAAAGAAAAGGGGTCATGTAGGAGAAGCCAACTACAGACTCATTGTCAGCCACTCCCATTCCTGGCTCGCACCCTGCCCACCAGCGATACTGTGGTTGGCTGGGTTTGCGGCAGCGGGTGGTGCCATCGCCGGAGCTAGTGGTACGACTTTGGAGCGGCTCGTAGGAGCGGCTGATTTGGGGCTGTCTTCGAGATCTGGGTCGGATCCAGTCGGTGCTTTCTCGAGTCTGCGCTGCCGTCTGGGTGCTACTTGTACACCGGCACGAGCCTGAGCGACACCAGCCGGGGGACCAGACTTGGGCGGGGCAGCGGCAATTGGCACAACACCGGGCTTCCCCAGAGTGTTGGATCCATTCATCGAGGGGGGCGATTCAGAAGTATTGATGCGGGATGAAATCGAGGTGGATGGAGCATGCTGAATGGAATTTTTGCGGGAAGATTTCTTAGATGATCGAGAAGTGCCAACAGCAAGAGTGTTGGCGCTGCTGCGGTTTCGCTTCTTGATCACATCAGTCTTGAGCGAAAGTGGTCGGACAACACCGTGAAGTTTCAGGAACAGGCCACATGCGTTACACAAAGGCTGGCCCTCTGGGTTACGTCTCCAGAGAGGGGTGGTCTGAGTGAAACAGTTGGTACAGGTGGTCGGCCCCGCGTTCGGGTCTCCGTTTTTCGACCCACCGGGGCTGCCTGGTCGGGATGGCACCGCACTGCTGAGACCGGACTCGGGAGGAGTGCTTGGTGAGGGGTGGTTTGTCGGAGGCCCGCTGGCCGAGCCATTCAAGCTCTGACGGAGCAGTGCAGCAGCATTGGGGGTTGATGCTGTGCGAGGAACCTTTCCATAGCGACGAGGATCCTGGTTCTGGTTACGAACATCGCTGACCGAAGCAACGGATCCGTGCGCACGACCAAGAGTTCCTCCCTGGTTCCATTCACCATCCATCATGTCTGTGGATCCTATCGTAACATGCTTGCGGTGATGACCACTGAAGCCGGGTAGCGACTGTACTGATCCGGGGAAACCTCCATCCCAGTGTAGACCGGCGCTCATATCACCAGAGTCATCCATAGAGGCAAAGTCATTTGGCATGGCCATGCCTCCACGTTCACCAAAGTTGCCATCATCATCCTCATTGTCCGAATCTCCACCAAATGTAAACATGCTGCTGGCAGGCGCAGTTGTGGAGAACTCGCCATGGCCAAGCACCTGTGACGGGTTGACATGCTGCGGTTGTGGCACCGAGAATCCAGACACATGCGTGGTTGGTGGCCCTGTAACTGCGCTCCCTGGGTGAGAATCCCCGTTCATGTTGTACATATAACGTGGCTGCAGGGATGCAGACAGGTTCGACTGACGCTGCTGGATATAGTTAGGAATGCGGCGGGATTCAGCGGAGGGCGCATCAGAAAAGAATATCGACTGCTCCCCTTCATAAATCGGTTGCGGGGTCGACACAGTAGACTGATAGCCAGAAGGTGGAGGAGAGAAGAACTCGGTCGAGTTAAGCGACGAGGCAAGCGGCGTCTGGGCATACAGACTCGAGAAAGGATTTCCTGCAGTCATTGGGGACTCTGACGGCGAAAAATGGAAGTGTTGCTGATAAGGCCCGGCTGAATTGATCCCATGGTCTTCGTTGATGCCATACGTATCCAACCCATAGGGAATGTTAGAGTGCGTGTGATGGTGCTGAGGTCTGCGCGGGCCCACCGTGCCATTGCCGGGAAGAGCGAAGGCAGAAGGTGGATGATCGAGCGAGTAATCTGGCAGTGCCGCTGACAGTTCCGAGTGCTGCGCCAGCATAGCGTTGGACACCGGGGGAACCTGGGGCGAGGCCTCGGCAGGTCGCTTGCGGGTTGGAACAGAGAGACCGGCGAAGAACTGGCGCTCGTCGACGCTCGTTTTGCGGACCCGACGGGCGACATATCCAAACTCGGAGTTTGTTCGCTGATCCTGGGGTGGGTGTGGGAACGAGGCGGCGGTCGACTGTTCCATCATCGCATGGTCCTTGCGCGATTTAATAGGAATCGATCCAGTCGGCGTTGCTGTGAAGTGTCGATCGGCCGAAGGATGTGAGGGGTGTTCGGCGGGCGAATCAAAGGGAATGATGAAGTCATCCAGATTCATTGGATCCGAATTGCCATCAAGATTCATATCGTTTGAAAGATCGGGGCCAGCCGGCGATACTTGGTCGGACAAGCGCATCTGCGCGATGCCGCTTGGTGTCGGGCTTAGAGTTTCCGAGGCACTGTTCGGACACCAGAAAATCAGCTATTGTGCTTCACGAATTCGCAGGAGTGTTTCTTACCGAGCTTGCTGCTCCCGTTCCTTGCGCTTGAGGTTCATGGCCATCATCCGCCATGTCAGATTCTCCATGCGCTCTTGGTTGGGCAACTGAGACTTTGTCCTGGTATATAGCTTCCATATCTGAGCTGCCAACGGATCCTTTCTTTGCATCTCATCGGGGCTTTCGCCACGCGGTGCACCGTTTGTCCATTCAGGGAAAATGGAGTTGTTGAGGACACCATCATTGGCGTTGGAAGAACCGGAGGGACTGAATGGAGAGTCAAAGGAGAAGTCATCGGACATCATATGGGAGTCGGCGTCGAAGCCGGGGAAGGCCATAGACTGGGATGGCCGGGCTCCCCCGTGCCCTCCGTGATGTATCCCCTCCATAATCTCCGATGGAGAGGGTTTCGAGAGGGGAGAAGGTAATTCAAATAGAGACGGTGGGGGGGATGAATGACAAAAAAGGTGGGTTGAATTGAAATTCCCCCGTACCCGCCGTAAACGAGACCCTTGCCGGAAGTTGATGATCGAATGCAGCCAAGCGAGAGACGATTGGCAGGATTCAGCCAACGACCAGGGTCTGTCAACGCAAAACGCCTATTAGCACGGAACGGATCTTATAATAATAATATATGGTAATAAGATAATTAAGCTGACGACTGGGATGAGCGCAACGCACGATGGATCTGAAGACCACCACCCTTGACGCCTCTGATTTCCTGAGTCGTGGAGGGGGGCTAGACCCTCCAAACGCTCATGCCCCGAAAAGATATATCCTTTGATGGAAGAGGAAATCCTCCCGAGTATGACAGAAAAAGGGATTGGAGAATAAAGTCGCAGATATGAAAGGTGAAAGATGGAGGGGAGAGAATGGAATTGTGTGGGACGGGGAACAAGGCAGTTTACTGCCGACCACACAACAACCACAAGTTAAGAATGAAAGATGTAGTACTTTGTATAGTTAGATAGTGAACAAAAGAACAAAGTAAATAAAAAGAGGGAAAGAGGAATAATATGATGTCTAAAAAGAAGCCCAGAGTGTAATGTAACTGAAAGTACCGGTATGTTTCCCGTCACCGATTTACGGCGCTTCCCTCGACTCCCAAGAATTTATGTGCCACTCCCGCTCTTCTTAAAAAGCCGACTTTGGGTACTTTTTTTTTCCCTTTATTTTTCTTCTCTTTGCACTTTATTTTCTTCTCCAATCAAACTGAGATATAGTATTTTAGGCACCAGGTCTAGAAGGTTATCCTTTCTTTCTCTGCATACTCGCACGGTCCTAGTGTTTTTTTTTTTCTTGTTAAAAACATATCATATTGGCTGAGGTATACAGAACCGGCATCTCATAGAATCATCGGCCCGAGTGGTCGCAAGCCTCCGTACTAAAGTTGAAACTAATGTATGTACATACCTCGCCAGACCCCTCTCCTGTGAGTCGGGGCTGGGTCCAAACGCAGGTACGGAGTACATACTATCAATACCAATAATCAGTGGGAGACTATCGGAAATAAGCTTGTGAAAAGACAGAACATGGCACTCCCAAAGATATCATGCTCCTTGGCGTCTCCGGAGTGAGTCCAGATGCAGGCTAAGTGGGTACTGTTCGTTAGTGGTGGAGTACAACTCCCGGTCCAGTCATCGAGGTTTCGAGGAAATGAGAGTCAAAGGTATTCATCACGTCTCGGGATCTCGATTTCTTTGCTCTAGGATGTTTCAAATCATCAAGGGGGCTTTCCGCGGTTTACCCGTGAAGAATTGTAGCAAAAAGGAGAGAGAAAAGCACAATCAGATGTGTTGATATTGAAGTGTATAGTCCATACTCTTAGCGCAGCGGGGCGGAATGATAGTAAACCGAGCAACGGATGGATCCAAAGATAAGGAACGTTCTATGGGTCTTCTTTTTCGCCTTCTTTTTTCGAGAAAAAAAAAAGAGAAAGGGAATGCGTTTCTCAACATTAGTAGAAAT